CTTCCCGCGGCCAGTGTGGGTCACTTTGGCCAGAGAGTTTTGCTCAAGGATAGAGCCCCCTGAACGAAGGCGAAGAGCCACTCCGTGTGTGTGTGTGTGTGTGTGTGTGTAAATATATATATAAATATATATATAAAATGCTGAGGTTTTATTTTTCCGTACTGCGCGTTTCCCTAAATTGCCTTTGACTGTGTGCATCGCTAATGAAAGTTTATGCCCTTGTTAGAAGGACAGCCAGGTCCGTTCCAGTTAGGGTTGGGTCTGTCTTACTGCCAACTGCCCTCCCCAGTGCAGCGCTCTCTCTCGCTCTCTCTCTCTCTCTCTCTCTCTCTCTCTCTCTCACACACACACACACTTGCATACATGCACACTCTCTCCCCAGTGAATCAGTGGAGGCTGTTATAAAAGGGGAGGGGGAAGGAAAAAAATTCCCTATTTGTGTAAGTTGCTTTAAAAAGGTTTTATCATGTCATAAAGAAAAGGGGAAGTACTCTCGGAAATTGATCCTGCACACAAGTCCATCGGGCAGAAGGACGTTAGGATGTTAATGGCCATTTTGCTCCGGGGTGGCTTATTAAAAAATTTATACGTAAATGCTTAAAATTGCATAAATTATTTAAAAAAAACATAGTAAGCAATTTGCAAATTGCACTTCACTTTCCCCCTCTCTTTCTCTTAATTTCTCTTCATGTGGTTTAAAATATATATATGTGTGTGTGTGTTATTAAAGAAATATAGCCTTCTTGGGTGCTGATGTTGTTTTTCTCCTTTTAGGGTTCTCCCCCCCCCTTTCAACACCTTTATCCAAAATGGTTTATATCAGGGTTTTGGTTTTGAGCTTTTCTTTTTAAGCTTTTTCCAAGCCCGAAGTTAGGATTGGATTTCCCCCCCTCTTTTTTTAAGGAAAGAAAAAAAGAGAGAGGTGGGGGAGGTAAAAGAAAGAAGTTTCGATGTGATGAGTGTCTTTTGCCAGTGTGGAATGTCACCCACACATCCTGGAGATCGTACTGGGGAGGTTTATGATGGTTTCCCATTGATTTGTTTCCTCGACGCAGCTGCCGACCTCTATTGAGGGACAAACATAATCAGCGCTGACGCAAATTAGATGGTTATTCGTTTTGAAAATTGACAGAAAAACAATAAAAAAGATGAAATGCTCCCAAATCAATAGATATAATGAAATTCAAATAATCCGAGAGATGAGGTCTCCATGGCAACTGATAATGTGGAAAAGAAAACAATTTAATAAAGGACAGACACACTTTGAAAACAGATTGGGCAAAGGGAAGGCGGGGGTGGGGGTGGGGAGGGAGAGGGTGGGGGCAGGTGGGGGCGGTGGGGGGAAAGCAAGCAGGGAGGGAGGAGGCAGCGATGGGCAATGGTGGAGTGCTAAGCCCCCCGGGTGGGGGGCACCGCGCTTCCCGCCTCTCCGGTTGGCTAACGGTGCTGTAGTGAAGGATCACTGTCCACCCCAAGGACGCCTGCCATAATTAAGAGAGGCTTTCGGTCCAGAAAGTGCAGATTCAGGTTTTAATACACAAAATTATTTCAGGAGCACTGAATCGGAAAGTCGTTTGTTATGACCTTCCTGAGAGGCCTGGAGCAGGGCATGTTGGAGGCGCGGCGGCTGAGCCCGCTGAGTTATGGCATATTTGTGTTTTTATAGTGCGGAGGGGAGGGGGCAGGGGGGGAGAAGGTTAAACAGTATTTACAGCTCACTTGTTTTCAGAAAGGGGAAGAGAAATAGAGTGCATGAAAAGATGAGAGGGGAGAGAGAGAGAGAGAGAATGAGAGAGAGAGATCGCCTTGCCCTGCACAAACGCGCATGGATGGGATGGCCGCACCAAAGAGGCGCTTGGGGGGCTCTCCAACCTATCTAGGGCTGGCTGTGGGGGAAGGGGGAGATGTTGGCGTTTGGGGATGAGTGCCTCTCTACAGCAGTCTTCCCCAAGCTGTTGCCCTCCAGACGATTTGGGCTACAGCTCCCATCAGCTCCAGTCAGGACTGGCTGGGGCCAATGAGAGCTGAGGTCCGAAACATCTGGGTGATGCCAGGTTGATGACAGGTGGTCTGTTGTAGAGCCACATTTGAGATTTCTGCTGGACACGTATCTCTCCCATGAGTATTCCCATAAACATGGGTGTGCGACGCTAGTGTGCCTTTGATGTTTTGCATGCTCTTTGGGAGTGGTGCAAAATTATTTGCTTCTGTGTGCACACACACACACATACATACATATTTTAACGCTGACCCTCCACAGATACATATTTTGTACGTGTGGGTGGATCAGCGTTAAATGTAGATGTATCTAGGATATTGGGACGCGGGTGGCGCTGTGGGTTAAACCACAGAGCCTAGGACTTGCCAGCCAGAAGGTCGGCGGTTCAAATCCCCACAACGGGGTGAGCTCCCGTTGCTCAGTCCCTGCTCCTGCCAACCTAGCAATTCGAAAGCACGTCAAAGTGCAAGTAGATAAATAGGTACCGCTCCGGCGGGAAGGTAAACGGCGTTTCCGTGCACTGCTCTGGTTCGTCAGAAGCGGCTTAGTCATGCTGGCCACATGACCCGGAAGCTGTACACCAGCTCCCTCGGCCAGTAAAGCGAGATGAGAGCTGCAACCCCAGAGTCGGTCACGACTGGACCTAATGGTCAGGATTCCCTTTATCTTTACCTTTTACCTAGGATATTACTATTGTGTTTCTCCAAAGCTTTGGTTCATTACATGAAAAGAGGGGTTTCACCGTGTGTGTGTGTGTGTGTGTGTGTGTGTTGCTGTGCACAAGTGTGACTTCATGTGCATGCATGCAAACATTCCTATGCCGCTCTGTCTGAAATGGGTGATATGTACCAAGGTGTATTTCAGTACAATACTTCCTTCTCCCATGTGGCCTTGCTATTTGCATATGCATGTACTCTTGACTGTGGCTGTGTTCCTGTGTGGTATAGTGCAGGGTACAGCATAGGAGGCCAGAGGCCAGGAACCCCTCAATTCAAATCTCATTTCTAAGTGGCCTTTGGTGTATACCACTCACTCTCTCAGCCCTTCCCTTCTAGATTATGGACATAATGATACTCCCCTACCTTATAGGGGTTGTGGTATCAACTGGTGAAGTTTTGAGTGCTGTATAAATGCTAAGCATTGCTATCTTTATGCATGTACGATTCAAGAGAGCTTTGACATGATGTGAGAGAACCTCCTTGAGAAGGTCATCAGCTTCTGGCCTTCTGTGGCTTCCATCATAAGAACATAAGGAGAGCCTGCTAGATCTGGTCTGTGGTCCATCTAGCCCAGCATTCTGTTCTCACAGTGGCCAACCAGATGCTTCTGGGAAACCCACAAGCAGGACCTGAGCCCAACAGAAACTATTCCCTCCTGCAGTTTCGAGGTATTAAGAAGTACACTGTCCCATACAACAGAAGTGCATATCCATCGGGACTACTAGCCACTGGTGGCTTTATCCTCAATGAATTTGTGTAATTCCCATTCTCCATGGGCAGGAACTATGGCTTCCCGTTCTTTGGAGGTGAGACTCCTGGGACTTAGCCGTAGGTAACAAGTTGCCCATTTCTCCTAGCACAGCTCATCAATACTCCTTCCCTAGAACAGATCCCAGGGTAAGTTTCTCCAGAAACAGTTCCACATAGCAGCACCCAAAACTATATTGCCCTTAACTCTAAGCCTCCCTTTTATTATCTGCATTGTTTCCTTCAGAGCCTCTGCGTTTGGGACAGAAGCGTTTGAAGAATCTGATGTTTTGGATCCCGTTCCTTTGGCAATGTGCCTGGCTTCCCACATAACTTTCTGCAAGACGAACCCTCCCGGTCTTTTGCTGGCCAGCAGCTACGCTTCCTTTAGTGCTCCCACTACCCCACCCCTTCTCTCTCTCTCTCTCTCTCCCCACCCACCCCACAGCAACCCTTGTTTTTCGCTTGTAAAATGGGGCAAGATTGATGGCTCGGGCTGTGGTGTAGATGTTAACACTTCTGGTTGATTTATGGAGTTACTTAGCCGACAAGTGAGACCACTTAGACTCGTTTTGGATAGTAAACCTTTTAATGCGTGTAAAAATATAAACAAAATTAAAATAAGCTAGAGGATGGAAGATGCAGATTTGGGAGTGACGTTTTAGTTTTATCTACCTCTCTTTTTCAGTGTGTTTTTTTACAAAAAGTAAAGGGAAAGTCCAGTTAAGACACGAAGCAGGAACAGAACCCCTTTTGCAAATGGCAAGCCAGTGTTGCTACTTTGGGGGAAAGTGTTTCCTATGAATAAAAGCACAAGGGAAAGGCGATAGAGGATGTTAATGATTTAACCAGGGCTGGAGATAGAGATGCAATGGCAGGTATGGCAAGAACGTTTGTAAGTCTTATTAGGAGAGAGACCAAGAGAGTGTAAGCCTAGAACACAGTGGCACTTGCTTCTGAGTAGACATGCACCATAAAAGCCATTGTGGATCAAGAAGATCTGGGATGTCTGCATTTCCCTGCAGTGGCAAAACTTATGCTGGAGGAAGTAGATGATTTCTCCACCTCAAGAGAAATGGTTTTGTTAGATGTGGGACTTGGCTACCTCAATGGAATGAGTGTTCTATATATCGCTTTGAAAGGGGCAAATAAACCAAGAACATTTGTAATAATGTGTGGTAACAGCTTCACAATAACACCTAGGCCCTGCTTTCTGTCTTGTGGCTGAGTCAAAGGAAAATTTGGGAGAGAGATATTTAAATGACTTAATGGGGGCAACATGGACCAGCAGCTCCAGGGCTTGGATCTCAAACACTGAGGCCAACTTCCCAATAGAGGCCCATGTGGTTGCCAGGCAACTCACAGGCTTCTCTCAGGCCTCCCTCTCAACCTAGATTTTGTGTATATCACAATTGGGCCTGGAAGCCAATTCTGCATATCCTCACATATACCCAGTCCTTTTTTTCTAGGGATACTCTCATTTTTACCATTTTATAGTTCAAATCAGGAAAAATAAATACAGTAAATGGACAAAAGTACAAAGATTCACAAAATGTTTAGGGTTGTACGTACCCCCAGAAAAAAAGCACTGCATATACCAATATCAAAATATTGCCCTGGGAAAGTACCTGGGTTTTTGTGTGTGTAACAGAAGGTTCAGGATAGAAGTGTTCAGATAATGGCTGGAGCACTGAGGCTATTGTTTTTAATGGGGGGGGTGGTGTTGTTTGTTTTCCCCCATTATGTCTTAGCTACAGTGTTGGGCTTCAAATGTACTGACTTAGGAAAGCTCTCTGCACCCTATAGAAATTCCTCATGTAGAAATTCAAGATGCTGGATCACCCTGACTATGAGCACAACAGTTTTCATCCCTGGACTTTCGAAGGGCTTTTGGCAGGGCACCCTCTGTTTTGTCCCTTCCCTCACTGAGTCTACCTCCTCACTGCAACAAGGCCAGAGGGGTCTTGGAAGTGGACCCCTGGATGGCATGTGGGCTCTTGACAGATGTGCAGTCATGCTAGCTCTTGGCACCAGTTCTACTCACCTAGCTGTTATCATGGCTGCCTCTCCTCTCTGCTTGAAGCAGAACCCCAGAAGGAAGTAGCCTTCTCTTCATTGCCAGGGTACATTTGTGACATGCCTGTTGTGGCCTCGAACCCGGGATCTGGAAATGAGTGGTGTGCCGAGGGCCAGATATAAGCTGCCCTTTAGACTTCTGCATGGGCTGCAAGTCAGTCATGCAGGTGCTTATAGCGGTGGGCATTAAATCATGGCTTCCCGGTAACATAAGTCGACTGTATATGTGACCAGCACAACACAGGCCAATTTTGTTCTGTGTTCAAGAGCCCATAGCAATCTAGATTTGCACCATCCCAGCCCCAGCAAGACCAGCACCTGTCCTGAACCCCTGGTCTACCAGGCGACAAGTCAGTGTGTCAAGTCCCCACTCCAGGGTCAATCTGCGTGTCCAAACCAAAGCACGGTCCCTCAGAGATCCTGGAGCAATCAACATGGGCAGTTGAGCAGATACAGCACCTCAGCTCTGCTGCCCTTTGCATGTGGATTGCAGCATCTGGGTTTGATGAGGCATGGGAGCCTCACCTGCTCCAAGCCTACTCCGGCTGAGGAATCACACACCTCCTCTCAGAGCTAGCGAGCCCCACCTGGCCAGCTAGTGAGCTGGGCTTGTCAGCCTTTGCCTGCCTCAGCCTCCTAGAGCACCCTGCCTGCTGTTCCCTATGCCTCAGAATCTGCTGTGTGTTGAGACAGGGGCCCCTCTGGCTCTGGTGATGGGTCCTGCTGCTCTGGTTCCTGTGCACTGACTCCCATCCATCATCCTCCGCCACCCTGTGAGTACTTTCTACACCAACCTCTCCTTCCCCATCCCCAGGTTGCCCTGGTGTGTCCCAGTCCCAGCTACACCCCTTGCCAGGATCCTCTTCCTCCTTCCCATAGTCCTGCCAGTTCATGAAGTCCCAATTTGCCAGCCATGGGCAGTCACCATACAAGAACTCTCTCTCTCTGTGGCCTGTTCTACAAGCCACATTGCATCTGTTAACACAGAGAGCAAAACTGGGCAGGTATTGGCTGTCTCTTGACCTTCTGCCTTGTCCTGGGCCTTTGCAGACTCTCGGAATCTCTGTGTTTGGTACTGATCTTTGCAGGCCCTATCCTAAGAGGCCTTGCTCTCGGCATTTCAGGTTGTGAACCCCTTAGGACCTGGCATCCAGTTCCAACTAAGCCTCCTAGAATACCTTGCTGTAATCCTGTGGACTCCAGAGCCAATGCGCCATGTGACAAAGGTGTTCAGTGCCGAGAGTTTGTGCAGCGCCCGTCCGATTTTGCGTGCCGTCCGGTTGGTGTTCCAAGCCTGCGAGGTGAGGGGGACAGCAGTGGTTAAAGCAAGCAGCGCAGAATCTCCATTTGGGCCGGCTGCGCTTCCAATGCGGCCGGCCTGCCTCTTTCTCCCTTGGCCAGTTGATATATGGCATAAATTAGGCCTCTGAAGGGGGATACTGCATCCTTAAGAAGAAATATGTCCTCATTTTTCTTAAACACCGTTTGCACTGAGTGAAATGTTTAGAAGGGGACGCTGAGGGATAACTTTATTTCTTACCAGGGAGTTCAGAGCCGTTCAGTTAAGCTCATAAAACATTGGGAGTAAGGAAGCTGACAGGCTACCCGTGCATTAGAAAAAGCATTATTCATCCTGGGGGAAGCTCACCCCATGCCGGAGCCAGGCTTTTACCAATGGGGTGCTTTGGGGCCCTGGTTAATGAGTGCAGGAGAGAAGGGATCTGTGGTAATCTACCCACAGAATAGGGCCACAGGCCATCCCGTCAATGAGAGTACGGCTTAGAAATACCCTTATTAAGCCATTGAGGAGCCGTCCTCAGTTCAGCTTCATGTAATGGCAGTGATTGCAAAAATGTTTGGAGGAGGATGGAGGAACAAGCCTCTCAAGAGATGATGCTGATGTTGTTGATGATGATTTTTATGGGGGGGAGGGAAAGTTCCAAAGTGACTTACAGGATATTTAAAAATGCCAAAACTATTGTCTACATGTTTTAAATCCCGATTAATAGAATAGAAATGACTACAGGTGTGCCATTCAAAACTAAGGAAGGGCAAACCCTATCCAGCTTCACTAAAATATAAGCATCAAAAACAGGCCATAAATCATTTCACAGTGTACTCTACATTTCACCCCTTTCGATGTGGGGGCAGACAAGAATTAAAAGGGATGGTTTCAAGGCCTCAGTTGCCAGTTTATTGTTCCTCCTGTTTTGTCTTCCAGTGCTATGTGCTTTTCAAGGCTCACATAGGCAGCTCAGGTGGTGATATGAGCCTTGAAAAGCCTGGGCCTTAAAATTAGCGAACAAGTCACTGCTTTCTGTGCTTGGCATGTGGGGACAGAATAGGGCCTTCTTAGTGGCAGCACTCCAGATATGGAACTTTCTTCACTTGCAGCTATACTCTTGAAGAGCTTCCATCGTCACCTACCGTATTTTTCGCCCTATAGGACGCACTTTTTCCCTTCCAAAAATGAAGGGGAAATGTGTGTGTGTCCTATGGGGCGAATGCAGGCTTTTGCTGAAGCCTGGAGAGCCCCACCGCCACCCCCACAAGCTCGGGGGACAGCGGGAGGCGCAGCGCGCCTTTCCTGCTGTCCCCCGACTTGGTTAGAAGGCTGGCGGGGGGAAGAAGCCTGCTCCTCCCCGTCGCCAGCCCCGCAAACTCGGGGGACAGCGGGAGGTGCTATTGGCCCTGCTGCCTGGGACTTCAAGGAGACAGAAGTCCAACAGCATATCCACATTGGTTGCCCCTGGTCTGACCATCACATAACATTTGCTGTCTGTATTGGGATGGTGTGCCTGTCCTACCAGCAACCTGTAGCAACCTTTGCTTTATTTTTATTTTATTTTATAATATTTTGCTTTGCTTTGCTTTATTAGATTAGATTAGATTTATATACAGCCCTTCATCATAAGATCTCAGGGTGGTTCACACAAGGAAGGAGAATTTCAAGCTCCACCAGAGAACAAAGGCACCCTTGAAGAAAGTAGTTTTAAAGGTGACACGCCACACCCACCACCGCCTTTTTCTTCTTTATGATGAAGCATATGTTACCATTGGAGATACCTCTAGCCTTGATTCCTTCTTGGGAATCTGGTGGAATCGAATGTAGGCACCCTGGTAACACAAGCTGACACGGGGTCCCCTGTGGCTTGTCAGTCCAAGGTTACCAGCCTGAAGGTGCTGGCTTGGCAGACGGTGCAGAATGCCAGCCATGGAGACATGTTCCTTCCTTCTATCCATCCATTTCACCCCACCCCCTGCCACCCATGCACACCCCACCCATTTTTATGCCAAAAGATTTAATATTTGTTTGAAATGAGAAATAGTCCTCAAATGAATTTGGAGAGTCAGGGAATTAATGTCAACTCCCCACCCCCTGCACCAATACACACACACACTTACTTTCCAGCTTCTCTCCTCTCCCCCCCTTTCAATTTCTGAAGCCTGCTGATTTGAATATTTATAAATATCAGTAAATTATTTATTGTAGCAATCTGCTGTGCCATTTCACCGATCACCGTTAACACTTTAGGGTTTTCTCTTTCAGAGATTGCAGCGCAAGAATTGGCGAGGGTGCCGGGTGAGGGGGACCTGAGGAGGGCACAGGAAAGCTGAGAATGTATCTGTGTGTGTACATGCAAAGTGGTGTCACACAGGGTGGAAGGATTGCTGTCTGTTGCCCGGAGTATGGAAGGATCCTTTGTATTGCTGTGCATGTTACCAGCGTCAGAAAAGTTTTCCTCTACTCTCCGTGTGTTTTATACGGGTCCAGCGGTATTACAGAGAAAGACTTAAGCAAGACTTTGAGGAGAATGGTCAGGGCTGTTGTCAAAAGATACGCTAATTAGAGGGCTATTCATATTTACTGAGTAACTATAGCGAAGCAATATTGTTACTGAACCCCAATTCCACGCTCCAAAAATGCTAGGTTGTGCAACCACATAACTCCTAGCTTGCATAAATGATATTACTTTGTGAAATTTTGTTTTTGTTGGTCTGGATGGGTGTGTGAAGAGCTGTGCAAGGAAATGAAGTTCTTCCCCCTCCCCCCCCCCCAAAAAAATAAAACCTACTGGAAATCTTGTCTACCCCACTCTATTTCATGAGGCTGCTTTCCTCTTAATATTATTTATTACTAGAACATTTCTCATTTTTTTAAAGAAAAAGTTTAGCTTCCTAGGTTGCAAAATTCTGCTGTCCATTCCAGGCCTTATGTGATTACAGAATACACAGCCTCCAGTTCCCTCCTCCTTCTTTTTCTCATTTTTCAAACCAAAAAATTGCCTCTCTTTGGAGGAAACTGAAAGCCTCTCTTGCTCCTCCAGTCCCATGTGTCCAAGGTGAAGCGGCACCCATGTCCTTTCCAGTGCCTGGGCATTGCTTGCCCTCCTTCCAGCCATGAAGGATTTGCGGTTCCAGTGGCCATGGACTCCGCTTAGCAGCGCCGCTGTGGAACTCTCCCAAGGTCAGGCGAAAGAGACAGCGTTCCACTAAGCCGAGGTCATCTCTTGAGCTAAAAGCAATAAAATGTTTTATTGATAAACTGGAGCGGCGGGGGGGGGGGGGGAGGGACGGGTGTCAAAGCACACCAAGTCCACTTTTTTTGCACACCTCCCACCCATGGAATTGGACCCCATCCCTCATGGTGTATTATCCCAGACAGGGCTTGCAAAGGAAATACAGTAATATTAAAAAAAAACACACAACACCCAGCCTCATCTGGCCTGTGTTGACCAAGGGAAATGGGTAGGTATGTTTGGGGCTGGTTTTGAGGAGAGTTGCTCCCTACTATTTTTGCTGACTCATTTCAGAACCACGGCCCTGGAACCCAGGACCGTGTGGACTTCTTGTGGGACTGCTCTGGATTAGAACCCCACATTTGGAGGTGGAGAGGTGACAGTGGGAGGAAATCAAGTCATGGGTTTTTTTCAAGTGGGCCATGACACTATTATCTGAAGTTTTAAAGTTCCATGAGGAATCTAAATGATGCAAATCGGGTTGGTTGCTTTTGCCTAGTTGTGCTTTCTGCTTCTCTGTCCCTTCTGCCCCCTTCAAAAAAAAAACCCAGAGATGTTCACCTCTTCATCTGGCTTCTGGTGTTTCACCCAAGCATTGGCCACAGTCTTTGCCATCCCATGGTCCAGCAACTTGAAAACAAACAAAACTTAAAGCTGAGAAAGTGGTGATGCACAATCAGAGCGTCATTGTCAAATCCCACACCCCTTTTGTTGCTGCTGTTGCGTTTATGTACCATTCCTATAACACAGTCCTACGTGTGGTTTGCAGACATTGTTAAAAAGACAAGCCAAGGTTCAAAACACGAAAACCAATGATAAACGCTTCAAATCGGCCCAAGGAATAGCATAGAACCAGGACCAACCCCACCCTGCAGCTCCCAAAGTCCTATCCTGGCTGCTGGGTGGTCTAGATGGCTTCTCGGCGTCTTTTGGCTTTGGGCGCATTTTGGCAACCTGCACCTACTTCAGTTGAAAAATGTGTACAGTTTCCAAACCCACAGGAGCACACGCACGCAAGCAAGCAAGCTCCCCCCCAATCCACTCCCGTCTGCCTGGCCCGCCATTTCCTCCCTCAACCGCCCCAAACAATGTTGTGAATAATTGATCGGATGAAACCCTCACAGCTCCTGGAAAGCTGGCACGGCGGCTTCCCTCCTGAGCGCAGCTACTCAGCTGGGCTTAAAATTCTTCAATAAGAATACGAGAGGTCCATCTGTTCGTTTCTTCCACGCAGCCCTCTGAAGTGACAGTCCTCACAAGCCCCGCTTCCTTTCCCCACCCACCATTCCCTTCCACAACAGGGGTATCCTCAGCTGGGTTTGAGCAGCACCCCACTCTACATCCAGGAACGCCCTTCCTCTAGAGTCAGGAGTGCCCCCCCCTCGGCCATCAGCTCTTGGTCCCTTAATCCACCTGCCCAGCTCAGAGTCTCTTCCAGGACTTTTATTTCCCAGTTTTAAAAAATTTACCTCTTCATCATTCTCCTGTCTCTCACCAACTCCCACTCACTAACTCTCAATTTACTTTCTTGCTGTGATTCTTTAGGGACATCCCTAGTAGTAGTATAATAATAATAATAATAATAATAATAATAATAATAATAATAATTAATTAATTAATAATATACTAGCAAGATCTTAAAACAGTAAAACAAGCAAGCTTCGCTTTCTCAGCCAGATAGGCATTGCCCAGAGTGTTTGGCTGAAGGCTATTTGTGCACTGTGCTTTCAGTACGGATGGTACACCAAGAAGAAAGCTGGATTCTGTGACCTGGATAGATGATTGCAAGTTAAGCACATTTGCACATATTTGCTTAATTTTGCATAATTTTGCATCTGCTAAATCCTGAAGAGGAGAAAGGAGCTGAGCAGGCCATTAAAGAACCTCTCCCCAATTGCTAGGAATGCTACACAGACAAACAGCATTTTTTATTTTACCCAGAGGCTCTCAAGCCTACCTCCTTGGTCTTGAGGACTAGATGCTTGCCTTTCTTTTACATATGGACACTTGAGATTTTCAACTGGCAGAATTATGAGCCCGACGCCAGACTTTTTCTTGTGAGGAGCAATTGCTGAATAATACTGAGCTCAAAGCATGCTGCTCAATCCATACGCATGGGCGTATGTGCTCAGAGTTTACCCTACTGCCTTGCATAGCTTGTTTAGTGCAATTTCCACTGTTGCATTTCCTGGCTCATTTCTGCTACTACCATGAGGACTAGATGGCTGCTTTTCATTTAAAATGAAATTGGGAGTTCTCATGGTTTCTCCAGGTTTGCAAGTTTCTGAGTCCTGTTTCTTTCTCCCCCTCTTTCTCCTCTTCGGGCTCTCAGCTGCTCTAAGCGGGAGGGGGCCATCTTTGTGGCTGCCACGCCACACGGGTGTAAACTTTTCAGCTGCATTGTTTTCACAGGAAGCATTCAGTGTAAATACAGCATGTGGGAGAGTTTGTCCTGGGCAGAGATGAAAAAGTCTCTGTGACAGGCATGGGTTATAAACTGCTTCCTTGGATTGATGTGAAATCAAAACATTTCTTTTCGGGAGAAGAAAATCATTGGGGATGTTTACTTAGCCTGGGCTCTTTCGCAAGGCACTAAATGTAGAACTGAGGCTGGTGCAGAGTTCGTGGGGGTGGGGGTTAGGCTGCTTTGGTCCCAGAAATGTCTTTTCTGCATCAACTGCCCATCAGACTTTGCACATACTACACGCTAAGACGGATTCTGCAGCAGGACAGAAAAGTAAAGAACATAATATCAGGCCAGTGGTCCATCTAATCCGGCATCCTGTTCTCACAGTGGCCCACCAGGTGCCCTTAAGAAGCCGACAAGCAGGACCTAAGTGCAAGAGCACTCTCCTGTGGTTTCCAGTATTCAGAGGCAAACTGTCTCTAAGAGTGGATGCAGAACAGAGCAACCGACTGCCTTATCCTCCTGAAATTTGTCTAATCCCCTTTTAAGGCAGAGGGAGATAGAATGTGTTGCCCTCCTTCATGTGTCAGGTAGAGGATGCCATAAGAGTTTTATTTTTATTTATCTGTTAAGGGGGGGGGGAGATGCCTGCAAATAGAAAACTAGCCCATCAGTGTTGAAAGTGCCCCTTTTGGCCTCCCACCATCAAAATGGAAGCACCAGCAACCGTCTCACGAGACTGAGGATTGCAAAAAGCGAAAAGCAGGTTTTCCATGTGGGAAAAGGGCTAGAAAGCAGCTCCGCCCTTGGACTGTTAGCTCTTTGCATCACCATTCAGCTATTTCAACCGGTGGGAAAATTTGATCAAAGCAAGGAGCAGTGAGTTAAATTAGCTACAGTTTAAGTAAGCGCCCATGTATAACTGCATTTGTGTGTATCCTTGCCCAAGAACCTCTGTGACTCCTCCCTCTGTTGCCTCCTTTGCTACTAAATTTTAGATAGTAAGTCCCTAGGGGGTTCGGTACTTAAATAAAAATTAGCAGATTTTAAAATTATTATTTCATAGAACCATAGAATTGGAAGGGACCACAAGGGCCATCTAGTCCAACCCCCTGCAATGCAGGAATCTGTTGCCCAACGTAAGGCTCGAACCCACAACCCTGAGAAATTGTGCTCTGCCAATTTCTAAGGTGCCCTATACTTCGATGGCAGAGCTGTGAGGAGCTGGTCAAGATGCCTAAGCCTCAGAGAAGTGGCCCTCATCTTTTGGAGCTGCAAAACATTTGCGGTTGTGTTCTCCCTCCTCTGTTGAAGTCTCACTATTTCTAAAAGTGGTAGGAGGGGAGAGTGGTGCTTGTGTGCTTCCTCTTGGGGCATGCAGTTGTGAGAACAGAGTGCTGGAGTAGATGGGCCACTGGCCTGATCCAGCTACAGGACTCTTCGATAGGTCAGGAGGTGAGCCATGTCTGTGGGATATTCCACATCCTCGCAGCAATATTCCTCCCCCACCCTGCTGCCCACCATCCTTTTCCTTTAGATAAATATTTATAGAATTGTTTTGCCATCTCTACGTGTCTTTGGTTTCTTCCTTCTGGAATGATGGGACTGTCCCTCATCCCGAGGAAGTTGTGGAAGGGTGGAAACGGATGAAGGAGGGGCGGTGGACAGAGGGAGTTGGAGAGATGTCCGTTTGTGCTGAGGCCAGGAGGGAGCTTTCTTTCGGGGGGCCGCTGATAGGATCTGACACCTCGATGCCTCCAGCAGGCTGAGGAAGGCCTGTCCTGTAGAAAAGATCCATGCTGGACCATGGTGTGTGTTGCAGAAGTGCTCTCTCTCCCTGTGCTGAATCATCAGTGGCCTGATGGCCTGCCTTGGAGGCTGCTGTCCAAACCTTTTTCCTTCAGCTACGTTCCCCAAGCCATCTTTTCTCCAAAGCATATGGGTGCACCCCTCCTCCCCGTTTAAAACATTGCCCTCCCCTCTTGAGAGCTTTGGCTGATCTGTTTAGCAGAGCTGGTTTTGATGCTCCGTTCCACCCACCTTAACCTCATTTGATCCTCCAACTTAGGTGTAGCTGAGGGCAGGACTCTGCCCTGATTTTAACAGGCCTTGGTTGAGCTTTCCGGATCAGGTGGGGCCAGGGAAGCACAGTGACGAAACAGCGACCTGGATTCCCCTGAGCCAACATGACACAGGAGGGTGTGAGAGTGAGAGCGCACGTGTTTGTGTGTCACTGGAGCCTCGATGTATTGGGGTGTGTACATGGTGTGTGCTCTCCTGGGAGTACATGGGTGGGTGTGTCAATAGCACAGGTGCGTGTCTTTTTTGTTTTGCTATTATCTGGGAATCACATATTTGTGGGTGAGAGGAACAAAGGGAGAAGGGCGATTCAGGTTTTTTGCATGGATTGCAGACCTCCCACCTTGAGCCAAGAGGCTTTTAGCAACTTGGATCTTGCTCCTTGCTGCTCAGGGGGAAAAAACATCTGATCACCTGCCTTTGCCTGAGCTCTGTCTGGCTTTGACCTCAAAGCCCATGAAAAATGTGGCAATTAAATGGGGTATGGACTGAACGCTGTACATAGAAAGACCCAGGCTATGCTGTCCTCTGCTCCCCAAAAAAGAGCAAAAAAGAGGAGCAATTTCCTGGATATGCCCAAAGCAACCGAACAACCTCTAAAATGTGTTGCAAGGCCCATCCTAGGTCGTTGCCACCTGGGCCTCATCATAAATGGGCTGTTCATGATGCAGGAGCTGCTGAGGCCTTTGGCATTCAGATCCAGAAGAGCTGTGGGTGCCACTGTCTTGTTTCACTGGCCTAGGAGAGCTCTATTGGGGGGGCGCATCCTCTCCTCCCTGGCCATTGTTTCCTGGGCGGCTTGTGGCCAATTTTGTTTCTCTTCTGCCGCTCTTGGCAGGAGAGCGTGCCCAGAGCTGTCAGCCGCTAATGTTAAGCAGCCACACGCTGGCTGTCGGGGGAAGAGAGAGAGTCTAAAGTTTCAGGCTGTTTGCGTTGGACTGTCAGGCTGGAGGATTAGGGGGATGTCACAAGGGCTCCCGGGCACGTCGCTGGGGGTCTGATAGATCACAACCTCCTTCTGTGTTTCGGGGCCTCAAACCAGAGTCATTCATTTTTATCAGGGGAGGGGGAGGGAGAATGCAAGAGACCCAGAAGCTTTTTTACAAGCAGCAAGGGAAATCTTGCTCTTTGGGAGCAAGTTGAAAGCATCCTTCTCATCCTTTCCCCCCATGAATCTGTTTTTGCATCTGGGCAGAACTAGGTACTGAGTGAGGGAAGAGCAGGTAAAATAGCGGGAGAGGAAGAGAGAAGGGGGGTTCTTCTGAGCAGCGAGTGGAAACCCTGTCCAAAGGAGAATCTACTTTGGTTTCTCCAACCCACAGCGCACCAAGGGTCAGTTCCTGCAATGTGTCAGCAACCTCCTCCATGCTCAGCAACGAGCCTGTTGCGTGTGAGCCTTATTGCATTGCTGACTCCTGCTGTTAGGAGACGGACAGGCTGTCTTGCCGTGAGCCACCGTGCTGCAAAAGCTTCAGGCTCTGGGGCAATCGCTGTGCCAAGCACACGGCTTGAACGGCTGCCTGGACCCTTCCTGAGAGAGGCGCTGACACAAATGAGGGGTGGGGACGTAGGTCTCTGTCTCTTCATCTCACCTCAACATCTGGGGAGGGGAGGCTGCATCCTTAAGCTGCTGTGGGGTGGGATGTCTCGTCCTTTTCTAAAGCCACACCGCTGCTGTAGCAGTTGTCGGAAGCTCATGCTATCGGTTTGCTAGCCAATGGACTATAAATTCTCCCCTCCTGTGCTCCCTTCTGAAAGTGTTGCAAATCAAAACTGTCTTAGGCATGAGGATGCAACCTCAGTGATGTAAAGATAAAAAGGCAGCTGTGTTGATCCATAAGAGAAAAAACGACAACAACTCCAGTTTCTATTGTTAGGCAATACCTTTATGAGGACCAACCGAAGTGTCACAAAATGGGAAGCAAACCCTTCCTCAGGCTCAGGTGTTACACAGAACAGGGAGTGCCTGAGATGAGGAAGAGGTTGGGGGGGGGACACATTTAAAAGTACAATATTTTGGCTGGATGTTGTAACCACTGGATGGGCTTGGGTTCAGTTTTAAGATGGTGATTGGAGCCTGACCAGAGTAAGTCTCTGCTGAGATGCCAGCAATATTAGGTTATGGTGAGGTTTCTGGCTGCTCCCCATTTTTTGAAAACATAAAGCACTGCTGTTTCACCCAAATCTGCCTCATACCTTGAGTGAAACCTAGGGATTCCTCATCAGCAAGAGAGGAGAAACCAAAAACAAAACGAACAAGGCAGACCAAGCCAGAAATGTGTCTAATTAAAGCTTTTGAATTTCATGGGACTCATAGACTGTGGAAGAAGGGCTCACCCAAGACTAACCCGAGAGCCTTACTTGAGCGGGGGATTGTGAGTGTGGCTTCCTCATGCCCAGAGCTCATGCTCTAACCACCCTGCCACACAGCTGCTCAAGCAAATGCTCCAGGAATCTGCTCAACTCACTGTGGGATTGTGGAAAGGTGGTCAATGTGGTGTAACGGTCAGAGCGTTAGACCAGGAAGATATGAGTTCAAATCACTGCTAAATCAGCCATAAAGCTCACTGAGTGACACCAGGCCCATCATGATCTCCACAGCTAGCCTACCTCACAGGGTCATTGTGACAGTGAAAGGGAGGGAGCCCCTGAGCTTCTTACACGAAGCACAGAATGTAAATAATGAAGAAACTGCTAATTTGCTTGCGTGGATTTGCTTTGGGATGAAGCCAATTGTGATTTACTCCACTTGTTTATTCTTCTTTCAGTTATTTGAACGGTATTCAAACTTGCTTTAGATGCATTGGAGACTACCCCACCCTCTAACTGTCTCGCTTTCTCTCTCTCTTTTTGTTTTTTCCCTCCAGCTGAAAGAACTATATGCACTGACAGAACCTCAGGTAACCCCAAGATGGCTGCCAAGCGCAAAGGTGGCTTGAAGCTGAACGCGATCTGTGCTAAGCTCAGCCGCCAGGTCGTTGTTGACCACAAGGGACCCGAGCGGGCGCATGCCGACAAGCCTCCCCTGGGTTGGGAGAGCGCTGGTGGGGGCACCCTCACCACCGCAAAGGATATCGCCCGGCCTGGGGCCAAGGAACTGGGCCCAGAGTTCCCCGAGGGGGTCGACCGCGTGCAGAAGATTGAGGAGGACAAGCGAAGGGAAGTGATTGAAAAGTGGGTCAACGGGGAGTACAGCGAAGACTCCTTGCTGGGGCGCATCGAGAGCAAGGAACCGAGGGGCTCCGAGGGCGCTGAGGTGCCCCCCGAAGGCGTGTATATGGTACAGCCCAAGGGGTGCAGTGATGAAGAGGACAACGTGGATGAGGCCGAGCCACTGAGGGGACCCCAAGATGGGAGCAGCTTCCTGGATGAACGGGATTCAGATGGGCCTCCCTCGAAGGACGAAAGCTTCCGGGGTCCCAGCAGTGAGGTGGTCTCCAAGCTAGGTGGAGGAGCTGCCTCAGGTAAGGCTGCCTAGGCTGGCATCTCTGTTATGCTCTTTCTTGGGCACTGAAAAACCGGGACGTTTGCTCGATGGATCCGGGGTCTGTTTGATCATCCTAACAAATTTCTACCCAGCTGTTACTGGGTTGGTGGCTCTTCTTTTTTGCGGGGGGAGAGCATTTCCTGTTGCGTGCAGCTTGGCTTACTTACACGACTTTCCTACAGGTATTGCTCTGTAAGTCCCTCTTGCAGATCATCTGCCCTCTGCACGCAGCATTCTGTATTCTGGACTCAGGTGGGTGGGATGGCATGAGGGGCTGAACTAGGTAGCTTTTTATCCCCTTCAACAATGAGCAGCATATTCCCTGTGTCAAAGGATGCCTAGGCAGTCCCTGAACCCCACATTGTGGGCTAGCCCCAACACTCCATTTAAAAGCAAAATGCAATTAGTTCTATTTTAAAAAGGGATTTTGAAATGTGACTAATCTATTGTAGTAGCCACTTAAAACAATCAATGGTACCTTGAACATTTATAATAAATGAGGACAATCCCCATATATATATATATATCTACGAAAGCATATATATATATATATATATATATATATGCTTATTAATATATATAATTTAGTAGGCTAAAATAACAATAAGTATTATTTCAACTTATTTAAAATATTAATTGCAGCTACTCAGTTTTACAGTGCAACTCTATATATGCCCACTTGAAATTAAGCCCCATCAAGTGCTAACTGTCCCTAGTCCCAAGTAAGTGAGTGCAAGATTGTACCTAACCATCTAAAAAAAAGTATAAAATGGTGAGCTAAATGAAACGCCATCGATAACAACATACAACTGCAGCTTCAGCACCATCGCCAGAACTCCTGAAGAAAATCAGAATATATTCCCTTCCTTCTTTCTGCTTTATTGTCTGTGTGTGAGCTTGCAGATGTGTTCAACCAGCTTCGCAGAACATTGTTACGGCACATACCATGAAAAGAGTGCTGGCTTAGTCCTTGTGCTCATGTGTGCTTGCACAAGTGTGTGTCAGAGTTGGGCCCTTGGCCCCTCTGACACAGCCGCCAGGCCCTCCGTCTCCCCCTTCCAGCCCACCCCCCCCAATTGCTTCCCCTCTTCCCTTGAAGGGGAGAGAAAGGAATGAAGACAGGGACATGGAACACAGAGCTCAGCTGAGCGGGGAGATGTGCTGGCAAAAGAGAGAAGCGGCTTCTTTCCCTCGGCCTTCCCCTCTAGAGGAATTTTGGCCGCCACTGGCTCAGCGACAAAACAGCAGCAGCTCCTTCTGTGACACCTCTGCCTGCCACCGCTCAGGCCTGCCTGGCGGACACATTAGCACGAACGAGATTCTCTCTTTTCCCAGCTCTTCCTACCCTGGGAACTGTTTCACGGCGAGTTTAATTTCCCTTCCTTTTTTTTTAATTGTTGCCTTCCTTGTTGGTTTTATTTATCTACCTTATGCGTGTGCTTTTTTTCCAACCTCTTCCCAGGACAAAACTACCTTCCCAAGGCGGTTTGCAATATTACCATTGCTGTTGTTACTATTATTACCGCTTAAAATCGCTTGCTTACATCTCCGGGGAATGTGTGCTTTTGGCTATTATGTATGGAATGAGAGGGAAGGAGGGGAGTTACGTTATGGTTTGCAATTCCATAAAATCCATAAACAAATCTTAAACCATCATAATCATTGTCAGTTTGTTACCTGCCCTTCCCCACTAGGTCACGGGGCAGGTCTCAACGATTTAAGCATTAAAGATAGTTTAAAACAAATTACTATTGTAGCAATAGTGTGTGTCTTGAAAATACATACAGTGGTACCTCGGTTTAAGAACAGCCCTGTTTACGAACTATTCGGTTTATGAACTCCGCAAAACCGGAAGTAGTGTCCTGGTTTGCGAACTTTACCTCGGTCTACAAACGGAAGCCGAACGGTGGAAGGGCACCGGCGGCGGGAGGCTTCATTAGGGAAAGCGCTTCTCAGTTTAAGAATGGTTTCAGTTTAAGAACGGACTTCCGGAACGGATTAAGTTCGTAAACCGAGGTACCACTGTATATATTTCAGGTGTCAAGAGGTATGTCCTCAGTGTACGGTGGAAATTATATAGCGAAGGTGCAAGACACACCTCTGTAGAGAGGGAATTCTACAAGGTAGGAGCATCCTTGGAGAATGCCTTTTTTTCTCTGAGGGCATCCCACCCCAAACCCCAAACTTTTTAGGACGGTGGGACTACCAAAAAGTCCCCCTCTGCTGATCTTAATGCAATAATTGGCCGTTGTTCTGCTAGGGGGTTATTCTTTTTCACTCTTTCTTTCAGCCTGCGTGCATTCTCTCTCCCCAGCCCCACCTTCCTTGACTTTCTTTAGTCTACTTTTTCGTTAAGAAAGCAAGAATTTATTGCTTTGGGGGGAAGCGGGGGGGGGGGGAGAGAAACCTCTCCGCAGACCTCACCCATAGTAGGGAAAGTTCCACTCGCTTCCTGGAGAGCTGGCAAAATGCCCCATTTTTCAAACTCTGGTGGTTGTTATCTGAACTCACTGTGCTTTCTGCCCAGAGTCTTTGCAATCTAGATAAAGTGGAAAAGGTAAAAGGACGCAGTTTAACAAGGAAGAGGGAGAGGTGTTTGTGTGTGCAAAAGTACCTTAACCGGTAACTGTGAGGAGATTGGGTTGTGTCCGCCTAAATCTTACTCAGAGCAGACCCAACTGAAATTAATTACATTATTTTATTTATTTTTAAGATTTCTTACCCATCTTTCACCGTAAGGTCCTGGGGGGCAGGTTCTAACAATATAATATGTGGTTTATATATACACATATAAAAATGCAGATGAAATAGTTACAACTATAAATGCAAGCCAAACTCTTCCAGCCAGAACAGAACAGTATAAATTCAGCAAAACAGAATATCTTAACAGTGTAAAGAGGGGTGTCTTCAGCTGTGCAGGAGAGGCTGTGTACACACCATACATTTAAAGTATATGTCTTTCTCTAAAGAATCCTGGGAACTGTAGTTGGTTTAAGATGTTGGGAATTGCAGCTCTGTGGGAGGAGGGTGAACTACAGCTCCCAGGATCCTATGGGAGAAGTCGTGTGCTTTAAATGTAGGAAGTGTATGCAGCCCAAGATGCCAGATTTTTTTTGTGGGGAGGGAGTTCCAAAGTTTAGGGGCTGCTCTGCCACAAAGAAAGCCCTCCACCTACCAGCCCCCCAACCACCCCCCAATTTTGAGGAACTGCCAAGAGGGACCCCTTTTCCAGCCTTAACAGCAGAGAGGGTCTGTGGGGATGGAGGCGGTCTTTCAATATAGGGCTGGAAAGGGAACAATTGTTGGTGAATGTATGCAAAGCAAGGGGAGCAAAAAAAAAAAAAAAAGAAATTTAAGATTTCGTTATGACCATCAAGTGGACCAGACTGACTGCAGATTACCCAGTCCTGCCTGGCTGGGCCCCACAGAATTATGGGTGCTGTTGTAGGCCAGTTCCATACAATCCAATTAAACCCAGTGCAGGACTTTAAACATCACCACAACCACACAGAGCCACAGATTCCCACTGCCCCTCCAGCAGAGAGCACAGTGTTTGTACCAGGACACAACGAGGGCCAGAGAGGTTTATGGGGAACTTTAAACAGTTGTGATATAGGAGCTTTTGTTCTGGGAAGATTCTGAAATCGAGGCAGGGGTGGCTGGCAGGAAGTTAGAGACTAAATATGGGGCTCCAAACCCCACCACCAGTGGCAAAAAGATAAGAGGTGACCATTTATAGGGAGCTATGGGAAAGCTTTCCAAAAGAAGTGGATGTGTAAAAAAGCTAGCTTCGAGCACAGGGAGATTCAAGATTGAGTTACCAGAACTACTGCAACCCCCCAAAAAGAAATAGAGAATCAGAGAGAGAGAGAGAGAAGGGCATCTTCAAATGAAGTCTAAACTCCCATTCAGGTTTAATAACTTTGCTCGACACTTTGCCCTCTTTCCCACATCTCGACAAGCCCCCCTGATCTCGCCAATCCATCAAAGTTTCTCCCTTTTGTGTATGTGGGCCCCAGCTCCCCACCCCCACCCCGCGCTCCCCCTTAATAACGCAACCGAAACTCATCTCTGTTCATCTGTCCCTTCCCTCTTCTCCAGCCTTCGCGAGTTCAGTGGCAACGCGCATAATTATGCATATAAGATATAAACAGAGCTGTTTAATTATCCTTCGCCACATCAGTGACAGAGTAATTAACAAACATTGCAAGATCAATGAGGAAAAGTGTGACCTTCAGTTTCCTTTGATAGGAAAAGCCCTTGTCTGTCGCCAGCACAAGGTGATTGAGCCCGGACTCGGTGCTTAAGTTTGTTTTAATTTTCCCCCGCCGCCCCTCCCCAGTCCAGCTCCTTTGGTTGCCTTTCCTGTTTGCAGAGGCACCCAAAAAATATACAGTTATGGGGAACGGGGAATACTTATGGGAACGCATAGCCGAGCCTCCCAGCCCACAGGGAGTTAAACGGCACCATCTGGCAGGGTTATTTCCCACCTCATGGCACCTTTTCCAAAGCCTGGATTGACAAAGGTTCCCACCCAGATTGTGTGCCACCTTCTAGGTGAGCAAGCAGGGAGGGAAATTCACTGCAGATCAGCTGATCGACAGCACTCAGCCGTGAGAGCCGAATACGGATCCTTCGTATGCAGAGGCGCTGAGTACCAGGCACCAGGGGACACATAGCAGCAGGTGGCTTCCGCCGCAGATCTCCTTGGCGGTGAGGGCGTCTGCAGCAGGCAGGCTGCTGGATCCGACAGACCTTTGGTCTGACCTGGCAAAGTCCGCCCGATGTTTTGACGATAATAGCAGGCAATGCTGTGCAAAGCGGCTGCACGAATCCTCACTCCCAGTTTGGCCAGTGTTTCTGTGTGCAGTTTTGTTCCTTGTTTTGCTTCCACCTTCCATGTTACTCAGAGCAGCTGGCGCATGGTTTCCATGGGGCCTCCCATCTAGGCAGCATTCAGGGCTGAGCCGATTTTGC